GGGGGGGTTGTGGATGGGGAGGTCCGGGGGTGTTAGTGGGATTGGGGGGAGGCGTGGAAGGGGGATCCCCGTTCCTTCTCCAGCGTGCAGGGAGGAGAGGCAGGATCCTGCTGGGCTTCTCCCTGCAAAGGGGCATCTCCTGGCCTGTGCAAGGACAAAAATTTGAAAATCCCCGTGCGCCATGTGAGAGCTGGAAGTGAAAAGAGAAGCAGGCTCAGCGCTTACCACGCGAATTTTAAGCAGGGATGAAATGCAACTGAGCTGGGATCCTGAGCAGAAGCATTTTTCATGCTGCTGTGCCCCCACCTCACTGCCAGGAGCTGGCATGGGCCAGCCCTGCCTGTGGGAGCCCGTGCTTCGCTGGTGGGGGCCTGGCTGGGGGTGGTGTTTCTTGTTTCATGAAAATTTGATGCGCTCCGAGCTTTTGTAAATGCCCGTGATACGAACGGGTGGCTGACAGCATTCAGCGGCGCCTGGATCCTCCCCAGGTGCCTCCAGAAAGGGAAAGACACTTGCAGAGACTCCTTTTCATCTAGGACCTGAGCTTGCAGATTTAATTGGTGAAGCTAAAAGTGGCTGGAAAATGTCCAAATCCGCTTTAATTCCTTGGGGAAGGAAGGAATATTCAGTGGCGGGATGGTTGGGTAATAGCTGGAGAAGGACGTTCAGGGCTACCTGGGGGAAACCAGTGTTTTAATTCGTGTTTGGGTGGGTAACCCTTGTGCACCCATGCCCCATCGCTGCCCTGGGGCGTTGCTGCTGGTCGGGCGTGCGGGGGGATGCGAGGGTGTGACGGGCACACAGCGATGCTCATGGGTCTGTTCCCCTTCCAGCCCAGCCCAGTGCCTGGTCACAACCACGTCCGTCCTCCTTGTTCCACCTCTCCTGTATCTCCCTCTTTTTGCGGGCGGATGGGCACGGCACGAGGTCCCCCTGGTGAAGTGCTCCCCGCTCCAGCCCACGCTGACCCCAAAAGCGTGTGGGGCTGAGCCGTTGTCTCCATCCATCAGCCAAACCTCTATCCTCTCCGCTGCCTCTCCCTGCCCGATTCTGGCTGTAACCCCCCTCCTCAACACAAGCAAAGCCCCTGGGGTCCAAAACCCCCTTCCTGATCCTCCTCTCTCTTTGCAGGCGTGAAGAGGACCAACTCCCTGCAAGCTCCACGGCCACCCCCACCAGCCGCTGCCGGCCCCAGTCCTGGTCCCAGTCCAGCAGCACCCCCAGGTAGGACATGAGGGGGATGTGACCAGGATGCTCGGTCCCTGCGGGGACACCCCGATGCCCTGCCGTGGGTGGGGACCCCCCCCTACTCGGGACAGTGCCAGTGCTGGGGTGAGGGAGGGATGGAGGGCATCACCCAGACTAATGCCCCCGTAATGCTGCGTCTGTCCCCAGTGCCACCAGCAGCGGGGAGACCGGGTCCTGGGGCAGCCGGCCGGTTCCCGGAAAGACAAGGTAAAACTCGTCTGCCTGCGAGGGGCTGGGGGGCAGAACACACTGGGGGGGGGCTAACGGGGTCCCTCCCACAGCGAGCCCACCGCTGGGACCCCCAGAGCTGGCCCGTGCTGCTGCCAGGGAGGAGCGAGGAGGGGGCTACACCGTGCCCCCCGCCAGAGAGGAGAGGCCAGCCCGGCAGCCCCCCCAGGAGGAAGAGGAGGAGGACGTCAACAGCTACGACTCTGATGAAGGCAGTACGTACCCGGGGCGCCGGGCTGGAGGGGAGGGAGCGGTTTCTTTGGGAAATCGGGGATTTTTGAGGGACTTGAGGAGTGCTGTTGCCCCTGGGAAGGGGCTTGCAGGCTGTCCCTGCCCACTCCCTTCAGCGCAGCTTGTGGGATCTGCAGTCAGTTTTGCACCAGATGACTCTGACGAGGGCTGGTTCAGGCTCCGTGCTCACACAACCTTCCCATTTCCCAATCTGAGTCCTGAAGGCGGCCGCCTCTTTCCTTCAGAGCATCCTTCGCTGCGAGAAACACCACCAGGCCTGTCGCGGGAAGGGCTTGGTGGTGGCTTCAGCACCTCTGCGCTGTGAGATCTCCGTGTTCGGTTGTTTGCTTCCCGAAGGAGGGAACGGGCTGCCCAGGGAGGGGGGAGTCCCCATCCCGGGGGGGTTTCAGGGCCGTTGGGATGAGCTGTGGGGGGATGTGGGGTAGGGGAGAACTTTGTGGAGTCGGGCTGAGGGTTGGACTCGCTGACCCCGAGGGGCTTTTCCAACCCGAATGATTCTGGGATTCTGTGAATTTGCCGCGTGAGGTCGAGCACCTGGAGCAGGGCAGTTCTTCTGTCCAGCCTGTCCCCCCCCAGGATGGGGAGAGCCAGGACATTGTGCTCAGATGGACCCAGCTGAGGTTCTGTGCAGACTCTCTGTCCCTGTGCTCTTTTCCTGGCGAGCACGTGAACACGAGCGAGAGCTGCTCTCCAAATGTGTCAAAAACGGGGGCCAAACGCTGAGCCCCAAGCCTTGGGGGGAAGGAGATGTCGGCGGTAGTCGTGGGGTGGCATTGCCCTGGGAAGGGTTTCTCGGGTTACACCCTCCTTTGCCTGGCAAATACTAAAAAAAAAAAAAAAAAAAAGTATTAAAAATTAATTATTAGTAGTTAATTTAATAAATTAACTATTAAAAGCCCCAGACTGCCCTCCCTGGGCAGTTCCACCTCTGTAAGGCTTTGACATCCAGAGCTCGTGACTGGCTGGATTTCCGTGTGGCAGTTTGGCTGATGCCAAGCGCAGTCTCACATGGATTAAATGGCTTTCACATTCGAACCACAAATCTTTCTAATTATTACTAATCAGGGCTGATTAAACACAGTTACTGGCTGGGGTTTTAACGAGGTTTAACTCCTCCTCCTCCTCCTCCTCCTCTCTCTCTCGCTGTCAGCTACTCTGGGAGCGCTGGAGTTCAGCCTGCTCTACGACCAGGAGAACAGCTCCTTGCACTGCACCCTCATCAAGGCCAAAGTAAGTGGTCCCCTCTTTTTTTATTTTTTATTTTTTAATTTTTTAATTTTTTTTAAATTTTTCTCCCCTTCTTTCACCGATTTAAGTCCATCCAGCTCCCTTGGTGCGACGGGATGGAAGCAGCGTGGCTGCTGGCAGAGGCTGCTTCTCTGCTAGACCCAGCCTAGCACTGCTGATCCTGGGGCTTTTACATGAGTGAATCTTATTTTTCAGCACGTCGTGGCACCCACACTTTCTCAGGGCAGAGAATGAGGCTTTTGGCTTGCTGAACACGTTTTCTCTTTACTAAGTTGCTTCATGGATAGCTTTTTCTCTTCCCTGGCTCTGCTTAAGGGGGAGCCATGCATCATGGTTTCTTTATTTTTTTAGGGCTTAAAACCAATGGATTCAAACGGCCTGGCAGATCCCTACGTCAAACTGCACCTCTTGCCTGGAGCCAGCAAGGTGAGGCTTTGCCTGGGTTTGGGCTGGAGATGGAGCAGAGGTTTCTCAAAGCCCCTGAGGTCCCTCCCTCGTGTCAGACTTCCTCCCCTTGATTTCTCTGCTCAGTCGCTCAACTGCTGCTATTTTACCCAGGAGGTACCTCTGAAAAGGGACGATGCCTGCAGATGCTCTCTTGCACTCAAGGAAGAGCTCATCCTGCAGGACAGGGATCTGCTTAGGGATGGAAGGGAGCTCCAGAGGAGGTGACGCTGCTAATGCATCGCAAAGCACCTGACACAAAATCTCATTCTTACCAGAGCTGGAGCGATCTGTTTTGCCTTAAAGCTGCAGCATGTTCTCATTAGGTCTGTGAAGAGTAAACTCTGACTCCCTCCATCAAAGCAAGCCCGGGAAATCTCACTCCCCAGCCCAGCTAAGCTGATCTCAGTGCGGGGAAATCTTTGAGAAAGGGATGGCCACCACTGACCTGGTGCCCGAGGGATGCTGGATCCTTGCTCGGGGGCTGCAAAGCTTTTTCCTTGCAGCTGAATTTTGTTCAGAGGAAATAAGTGTAAAACAAGGCGAAAAAAAACCCTGATCATAAAACCATTGGATTGGTATTTACAGGTTTACTTTATGTCCGGGGACTTTCTGGTCTTGTGGAAAGTAAATTAAGGTGCCGTGATCTGGGGAATTGCTTTGATTTCTATGGCTCCCTTGTTTGCCGATCTTTTAATTTTTTTTTATTTCGCGTGTCTGTCTGTAAAAGACATGAATGAGTGTCAGAGCTCCCCGTTTCCCACGCTATCATCTCCTGCAGACCACGAGAGCCGTTACCCGAGCCCCGCACAGCCTGCCCTGGGCTACTTTTCTCTTGTACAAGTGTCCTTGAGAGGGTAGACCCCAGCGAGTGGAAGAAGCCGGGTGGTCAAGGCTGCCCCTGGCCACTGCGGGCAACTGAGTCCCCCGGTGCTTGCCTAAAGGTCCCCCTTGTTGGGTCGGTGATGCTCACCTGGAGCGGATGGCTCGCCCAGGCAGTGGTGACGTCCTGCAGAGCCCAGCCAAACCACCTCTCGTGAGCCAGAAGTGATGGAGCATCTAATTGACGCTCCTCTGCCAGGAGCTAAAATTTAGGCGGGGATGAGCTCAGGGCTGTAACTACGCTGCGTTTCATTTCGGTGCTGTAGTCGAATAAACTGAGGACGAAGACGCTGCGCAACACCCGTAACCCTGTGTGGAACGAGACCCTGGTGTACCACGGCATCACAGACGAGGACATGCAAAGGAAAACCCTCAGGCAAGCCGAGGAGCTGCGGTACCCGCGGTGCGGTGGGATGGGGACCGTGGGTCCCCTGGCAGGGGACCAACCTTCCACAGGGAGGGCACTGGCAGCAAAGTTTGGGGCACCTGGAAATGTGGAGATTTTGGTCAAAACCAACGTGCTTCCTGTGAACGTGCTGATTTTGATGGTCCTTTTAAAAAGAGAGGGAAAGGCGTTTTAACCCTGACATTTAATATTAAATTATGATGATGATGATGATGATGATCAGCGTAGAGATTTGTATGTCTGTGCGTCATTTGACTGTATCTCAGCAAAACGTTGAGAGGTCTCTAAAAATTTTTGCCATCTCCTTCCTACAGGAAACTTCCACCTTTTTGATTTCTTGCCCCACTGCAGAGCACGTATTAAAACTGTCGATTTTTCTCGCAAAACGGAAGTTCCATTTTCTGACTGCTTGTGGTCAGAGGAGAGCCAGAGGGATGGAGGCTTTGGTGGGGCTTTGCTTTGCCCACCCCCTCTTTGCCGGAGTGGTTTTTGTGCTCCGGAGTCAGGTACTGCTGCTCCAGTCTGGTTGATGTTCACCTTTTCCTGTTCCCTTCAGGATCTCCGTGTGTGATGAAGACAAATTTGGCCACAATGAGTTTATTGGAGAAACTAGAGTTTCCTTGAAAAAACTCAAAGCCAATCAGAAAAAGAACTTCAACATCTGCTTGGAGAGAGTAATACCAGTGAGTTTATGTGGAATTTTTTTTTCCGCTACCGTTGAGGTTGATAACAAATGGCTTGTGAGGGAGTTAGTGGTGAGCTTGGGGGCGGAACCAGCCAAGAGCTGTAGGTGTCTGACTTCGCTGCTGTCCTTAGGAGCTGGATTCCCACCCGTGTCTGGGCTGATCTGACACGTCAAGGCCAGGAGATCAGAGCATGGCGGGAATCCCTGGGGAGCGACTCTGGGGACCTCCCCGGTGGCGTTGCCAGCCCATGCTGACGTATGTCACTGTGGAGGAGAGGGCAGGTTGCTCCATTCCTGAGTTCTCCTCCCCGGTGTTGTGGGGCAGGTGCTGAGGTGAAGGTTGATGGAGCACATGAACGCGCTTGAGCCCCCTCCCTCTCCCGAGGCCAGTGAGAGAGCTGGGCTGGGCTCCTGGGGGAGTTTTTGCTGTGGCACGGTGCCTCTCCCAGCTGTGGTCACTCATGGCAGCCTCTCTTTTTCCCTTCCCCACCCAAGATGAAGCGTGCGGGAACGACCGGCTCATCCCGTGGGATGGCACTGTACGAAGAGGAGGTAAGAGTCTGTGGAGGACCAGATGCTCCATCCACATTTCACCCATCGTCTCTCACGTAGAAGCCCCTTTTTTCCACCCCCCCCCCCCCCCCCC